TTGTTCCTACTAGTAAGGCACTTGTTACTACTAGCGTGGCACTTGTTACTAGAAGCGATGCACTTGTTACTACTAGTAAGGCACTTGTTTCTACTAGCTTCTTGTGACTGGTTACTACTAAAAGAACTGCTATGGAGATAAACTCCTCCCAGTGTGTCCAACACGGAGCATCGGAACAGAAGGAGCTTTAAAGAACGGGGTTTCTGCGGCACAATGTGGCACAGAAAATATATGGCTTTTTGTTGTAGCAACCATTCCACCTGGAAGCAAGGCGCGCGCTTCTACTACCAGAGTGCACATCCTCAATATGTGGCACCTGGACAGTTGCAAGGCTTCATCAACATGAGCATTGCTTGGGCCTTCGTTTTACCAACCTATTGTCCTTCGGCTGGCAGATTCGCTTGAAACTTGTTGGAGGTTGACTGTTCAATCGCCAGGGTTTTTGAATTTAACATAGAGTAACTGTTGATAGACTAGGGCATCCTTGTAACACAGACCAAGGGCACCCCAATTCACGAGGATTGAAGGTTTGGACCAGAAAAAGAACATGTGGAAATCCTTGTTCCTGGGCTACAATCACCTTTGGACTTCTCTCCAAAAGGAGCATGTCCAAAGGCTCCGAGTCTTTGTTAAGCTGATGGTGCACTCTTCGGAGTAGGATATGTTCATATATTTTCCGAAGAGTTTCAAGAAAGACTTACAAGTTGACATGGTAGAAGACGGTCGGACCATGTCCGACCTCAAAAGGGTACTTCCCCAATGTTTTGTAAGACTTTGCATGACTTTGCCCCTGTTTGCATTATTTTTCTCGGAATGCCTTACGCTAGTAAATGCTAGTAACTAGTACTTTCATGTACATTCCTCATCCCCGGGTCCCCAGCGGCTGGAAGTTGACCCATTGAGCGGCAATAGCATCCTCAAAGGAACCAATCTGAGAGAAGCACAAAAATCAATCAAACTCTTTAAAGCAATAATCTCTATGATCCAACGCTGGACTGTCGCCCAAACAAGGGACTTTCTGGTTCAGCGCTGACCATCAGAGCGCACCATGCTAGCCACGAGGTCGTTCTTGGTGTGACACTGCAAAGTCACCCCCAACACTTCCCAGCACAAACCTGTGCTCAGGTCATGCTGCTGGATACTATCGATTCTGGTAAAACATTGCGTCGCTGGATTGTGCGGAGGTGTGAAAAGATTTAGGAGGAACATACAAGAAGCTTTGGGTTATCCTCCACCCAGCACTCCAGTTCAAAAATTGTCACTAGTTTACTATGAATCTATGACCTTGATATTCACTTGCACTCTCTACAGCAACCCAAGATAGACCAGGTAGACGGTGTGTGTGTGTGTAGGTGTGTGCAGGTGTGACTGTGTACCTTTCACCCATAATATTTGAAACTCAAATTGCCGGAGAGCACATTGACCTGTCAGGGGAGTCTTTGTGGCTGTGTTTTCAGGTACAGTATTCGTTCTCCAGCGAGGGGAGTTGAAAAACGTGAAAGAGTACGGTTGATCAGTCAATCAACAAACACAAGAGGCTTGCATTTGAAGAAAAGAAAGCATTGAAAACTGCCAGTTCAAATGCAAGAGTTGTTGTGGAACGGCCCGGGAAGGCGAGCTCGTTCAACGTATTCACCTCGGTTGCTTCCAATTCTGTGTGAATGGCACGCAGCTGTTCAGCTTTGCGTGTCTTGCGACATCCCCTGACTTGTACGATGCGTGCTGTGCTACTTTGCTATGTGTGGGCAGCAATGGCTGTGCGAGATGTGCGAAACTCCATGCTTCTGGGAAGCATCGAGTCATTTATATACCAAGTGTTGTCCAAAAAAGAATGATAGATGAAAAAGACAGATTGCCACGCTGCAGCGGTCATTCATTTGCTGAACACAGACCAGCAGTTGGCGACTTTAACATTGTTGCTGGCTGAGTCTATAGGATCGTGTCACAGAAAACCGCGCATCCTTTATGATGCGCACTAAGGAGTGTGGAAGGAGGCTATTGCATGGCCCGTGACAAGACGAACACCGGCATGGTTGGTATCTGTGAAAAGAAGGTGCATTGGCAGTATGGGAGCAGCCCCTGCATACGAAGATTTGGAATTTAGACGTGTGCTGATCTTTCTTTTAGGATATGGTCCTTGGCTGTCCCTCTTTGAAGATGTGGGCCGCGTCCTGCCCAGAGGACAATCGCAACCAGATGAGGGTGTGAAATGCAGGTCCCAGCTCATGAGGTATCGAACACGCGCAGTCCCACCCAACATGGTGTGAACGATGTTTTGCAGCCAACCTAAGAAGGTGTATTGTTCCTCGACCAACCCAACCAAGATCTTACGATCTGCCAACTCAATCACCCCTCCCAAGCCTCTCAGCCAGCGCCCCAAGAGGTGAGAACATACAGTAGTAATGTCCCGTGGCTCTTGTTCCTAGTAGCTTCTTGTTACTACTAGTAAGGCACCTGTTACTAGAAGCGTGGCACTTGTTACTACTAGCTTCTTGTTACTAGTCATGAACTATACAGTCCCTTCTTACTAGTAATGTCCTTTTGTACTAGTAGCGTCCTTGCTACTAGCGATGCACCTTGTTACTTGTAGCTTCTTGTTGCTTGTAGTAATGCCCTTGCCAACCGAACCAAGCCTCTCAGCCTTTAGAAGCGTCGATTCCATGTCCAGGCCTATCGCGATTGTGGTGGCGACTGTTTTTGGCAACTCGGCACCGTGAAAAGCAAACAAGGGGTGTCGCTGACTTTAATGTTGAGTCCCGGTGAATAACGGATAAGATGGGTCGTGCTATGATGACTCCTTTATTACGAAGTTCAACTGTTGAAGGTGGTGCAGTGTAGGAAAGTTGGTGTGGTTGGCAGGAGGTTGTTGTAGGTGATCGGGGTTTTGCATGAATATCATGTGCCCAATTCTTCAAGAGATATAACTCATGGATACTAATGGTAATTAGTAAACCTCCAGACTCCACACAGATGAGCTCCGTGGATATACAGTTGCTCAGTAATTTATCAAAGACATTTGTGAATCCTTTTGCATCCTTTTGCAATACGGCTCAGTTTACTACTCTAGACACAGTTTTAGGGTGTTTGTAAGAATGAGCCTGCTCGAGGTGCGTCCAAGCCCTGCGCACCTGTTTTGAACTTGTGGGATCAACAACTCGAGGGTTTGCTGCGGTCACTTTGTAGTGAATGACAGAGGCCGACTTGTACTGCCCGTGCAACTTGTCAGGGGTCAATACAAGTGAATGACACCCCTCCTTCACATTGGGGGTTGAACTCCATGTGTCTTCCCATAGCAAGCAACCCCCATGTTTATCATGTTTAGGAACTGTGCAGGGGATGACATGTAAGTTTGTATCCCTAATTGGTTGAGACATGGCATGGCTTTGGTTCGCCGGGCATTACCATGTATTACCGCATGTGGAGAGCCCACAAGCGGCTCGTGCGCCCTGCACCATTTGCCTACTGTAAGTAGACCCCTGTGGCCAGCATCACACTGTGACGATCGGTGGCATGGCCGTTGACACCATTTGTTCGTTGAAACATTCCAACATGTTCTATGATGTTTGAAAAAGGTCCTTTCGGAATCTCCAAACGGAGGTCTCGTCTTGGTCCTTCCAAGAGGAACCCGGCCAGAAATTCATCCTGCTGTGCCATGCTGTGCCAAAGGAAAGATGACAAGGATTGGGGCTTCTGCATGGCCCGTGACAAGACAAACCAGCGCATGGTCGGCGCTTGTGCCAAGAAGGACTGCCAAGGGATCTTGGGTTATTCAGCTGCGAAGCCAATACAGTGGAAACACCTATGCATTGGAGCCGCTAAAGTGTGGGCTTAAATTAGTGCAAAAGATGGTTGCCAGAGTTGCCACAACATTTGGCACCCAATATAGATAATGGATGATACCAGCATCCCAAGTGCGGCGTGTAAGCTGGCCATGATTTCGTGACTGAAGGGTAGGACCTTACTTAGAGGATTAATATCAGTTGCCATTTAAAGTTTCCTTCAACATCTCTTCTAGGTTGGAGGCCATTCCTAATATTCCTATTAGGTTGGAGGCCATCGCTCTTAGGGTGGAGGCCATCGCTATTAGTTTCCTTCAAATTCATTTGTCATGCAGTTTGAAGCTTGTGGCTGCGAACCGGGAAGGTGGGGTAGCTCTTCGATTCCTACCTGCTTTGTTCCCACCCAACCTCATTCAAGCAATGTAGAACATGCCCCATGAAAGCAACAGATTTGGAATGTAGAAGTTTCAACTGCACACGAAGCAAGTGCAGCGGCCTCTTGAATGTCAGTTCGACCGAGCTCATTTGTCGTTGAAAAGATTGATGTTGATGTTGTTCCATTCATGGGGGTTGATTGCGATGTATGTCCCTGCGGTGCTATTTGTTGCAGGGCAATAGCAGTTTGGGCCGGCTTGGCAAAGGAAGAACTCAAAGCCCTTCCTTTCTTGTTGAGTTGAGCCAAGAGGCTTTGCACTCCCACAAACCACAATATATATATATATACAATTCTAAGTTGTCGGGTGTGGTTGTTGTCTTGTGCTATCCTACAAATCTATCTCAACCCACGACTTCCCAGTGGACATGCAGTAGTAAAAGTGGACATGCAGTAGTCCTTCTACACCAGGCTGACTAGATCAAATCGAAGCCTGAAATGCGTCAGCACAACAAATCCAGGAAAGCGCCGGAGTTTCAAGCGAGCTCATCCCCTCACAAGAACTCTAGCCTGGGACTCTTCAATGATTCCCTTCAAGCAGCCAGGCTCCAAGAGAGTGCCGCAGCAAAGACTGCTACTGGACAAGGAACGTCTGAGTCAGGTGCCCACACCGCTTGGGCCGTTGCCCGTGGGCCACAGACACCAACTCAAGATTTCACTCACCCATGCGGGCTAAGACGGGCTACATACGGCTACCTATGCGTTTACCGACGTTGATCTGGCCTTGTGTGCTTCTTTTTGATCTTTTTACGTTATTTGGTATTGTTTTCTTGTGCGGTAAGACCGGGTGTTTGGTCATTCCAAGTGAACAGAGATGCTCCGTGTTTGGTGCCGTCAGCTGAGTCAGTCCTCCGACCCGCGCCCTCTTTCAGCGGGCGGCGGGTGGACATGGCCAGCTTAAACCCACTTGTCGTCCCTCTTGTTGTGCGACTCACTTCCAAACCATCCAATGGAACAGTGCGAGTTCTTCATGATTGTGCAACAGTCACAATGTAGGGAGGATGTGCTGAACGATTTCAGGTATCCCCAATCCCAAGCGGGTTGCCAGTTGCTATGAAACACCAAGTTTTCCGGATGAACATGGACACCGACCCAACCTTTAGCTCTCCCCGTTTGGATCGATGCCATCGTGAAGTGCCACCCGAAACTGACATGACAGACAGGGCAGTTCCCAGCGGTTGGTGATGGAGCCGTTGGTTCTCGCAAAGACACAAGACAGGGAACAGGGAACAATGCAGAATGTGCTTATGATATTAATTAATAGATAGTTGAAAGCAGACAGGAGCTTACTTGGTTACTGGGGTGGACAGGCTCTAAAGATGTGGGACCCCCGAAATCATTTCGCTCTCATGGGGGATGTTAAGCAAGAATCCGGGACCTCGGCTGTTTGTGCCAACTTTCACAAGGTTTCAACCACCAACATCCTCATCAGCTCCAGCTTGCTAGAGGGAAAAATCGTTGCACCTCACTGAATGTATGCATCCTTTGGCGATCAAGGGCCGTTAGCCTGAAACCAAGCACGGATCGACGCAAAGGATAGCACTTTTGGGCGCAAGAAGCGGTTTTCCTGCGTTTCTTGTTCAAATCTATTTGGGTACCCTTTGCTTATATAGTGTATCGGGAATCTCTTGGGTCAGGTGACCCAACTGATGATTTAGCTTCAATTGCAATGTTTCTTTCAGATTGACTCGACTCCAACAAGTGATCCAATGATCCCTCGCGTCAGGTAGCCACACGGCCCGCAAATTAATGGTGAAAAGCGTCCTGGAACGTCGCCGGCCACGGGGGTGTGGGCGAAGACCACACAGCAGGATGTTGATCTAGGAGAGGGGAAAAATGATAAGATTGAGGAATTTAGTAGGACTGTTTGCATCTCCCTCTCTCTCTATACATATGGCCAGTATTTGTGTAGGTACCTTTGGTGCCGTGATTCAAGTGTTGATCGCTTTTGCAAGCCAGTGAGACTTGGAAGATTCAGTCAGGTTGGAATCTAGGAATGTTTGAGGCTTTTTTGTTCGCCAGGTTTCAAGCAGGTGGTGCATGTTTGTGTGCCAAACTTGAAGCAACTCCAGGATGCTTGGCTACTGGGTAGGAGACTTGCGAGGCAGAATGCCATAAGCTCCCACAAGGCAAATCTCCGAGTATGGATGCATTATGGCAGTCAGGTCTTCAAGCGGACCCTTTTATCTTGTTTTATTCCACAAACAACTCAACTAGATTCAGGAGTGCTTAAGAAATTTGTAGGTCCATATGTTGAGAGATGAAACTATAAAAGGACCCGTCCAAATTAAATGCCTGGCATGGATCAGCGATGAATCCCGGAGCTTTGCCGCCCCACCTTGGCTCGCAGCGGTGGACGGCACTGCCCTTTCTCTCCGCCCATTCTGCGTTTCTGCTCCACTGACGCAGGTGGACGAAGAGGTGGGGGAAGGAGAGCAGGTGACTCCAAAGTGTGGGGTACCGGTACCAAACACTGTAGATGACACAGATGGCGCATGATGACGTGACAAAATCACAAAGCAGAGATGAGGTGAAGGGACAAAACATGAGAAGTTGGGATTCATGGTGCTCCACTCCAGGTCTCGATTTCGACCAATGTTCGATCGTCTTGCAGGTCTCATGCCGACATCGCCTGCACCCAAGTGCGACCATCGCTAGGTGACTTTTGAAGAAGTAGCGGTAGCAACTAGAGATAATGAAGCATCAGAACAGCGCCCAAGCCAGAGATGAATATCATGACAACCAACCACACTGGAGTGACAGTGTCCTTGTCCTAGAGATTGGCGGCAACTGTCATTCTGAAGTGTCTCATAGCTGCTGGTCCTCAAAACCTGATGATGCTTGACAGGGAAGGCTAGGGATTCTGGCAATGGATGACAGTCATTGACAGTCCCAAAATGCAGTGGAGGATGACCATGCGGAGGTGCAGGTGTTTAGATGAATAATGATAAATAGGCTAATAGGTGTCCTGTGGCCCTGATTCACGGCACCCAACTGACTGGCCGTCTCGCATTTGCTGTACGATATTGAAACAAGGTGGGGAACAGTCGGAACAGTGCTGCTTCTGGAGATTCAATTACTGTATGCCACGTGTTCAAGATGCTTGTTGAAGATGAGAAATAGCTCTCAGTCCTTCCATCTTTCCCAGGAACCTTGATCCGACCCCCCCCCCCTTCTAACATGCAGCCGAGGCCGAACAGCGCAGCGTGGGCCCCAAAGAAACTTGGATCATGCCGCTGACATATGCTGACATTATTCTTTCAGATCCTGACCGTTCAGAGACTAGCTTGTGACTTGTTCATGCCCCTGCTGTTGGTGATGTTTTTTTGCTTTTCGGATTGTTCTTCTATCAGTTGGTAGAAAACACATGCTGTGCTTCCCTCCTGGAGGTTCAATTTCAATGTGTTTGAACAGAACCCAAATTCCGCGTGTAACACCAGCAACAGCCAAAGGGCCTTTCTTTTGAAGAACTTTATAGATGGTTTCAAGGAAACCTGATGGCATATGGCAACTTATAGTTATATACATATATACAACTGTGCATAAGTCATCCCTCATAGACGAGGCGAATATCATAAAAGAGTGGTTTTGGACGGGAGTGTTGACATCCACCCATTAGCCCAAACTCAAAGGCTATGACCGTGACCCATGTAGGGGCTACGAAGATTCATCCATACCCTTAAGGCATCTCCTTGCATGAGTGGATTAAAGGATGCTGGGTGGATTGCTGTTTCATTGATTATATAGTAGGTGTTCGCCATCAATGGTGGTGCACCAGCCATTCTCTCAGACATCTCCCAACCCCGATTCTTTCTGTTCAGCAACTGAAACCACGTCCATCACTTCCATGTCCCCTGTGGTCGAGAAACACCTCGTGCGGGCTCCCTGAGGTGATGGCGGCCTCCACTGGGAGCGAGGTCACCACAGCCTTGCAGCGCTTCATCACTCTCTTGGTGGTGCGCCGAAGTCAAAGTCGGACATCAACGTTTTTGGATGTGTTTATCCTGATGGGAAGATGGTTGGGACAGTCTGTAGATGTTGGTTGGGCCAGGTAATTCTTGGCAGGTCTGGCAACCCAATCCGTATGGCTTTGTGCAACTGTTCGGATGAAGATCCTTCAGATGGAGGAAGTTTCAGGTCAGGTCTTCACTTCACAGGACTAAAATACAACGTGACAGCACATACCAGGATGAGGGCACAGGCAAATTCTTCAAACACACTGCCCCACAGATTGAGACAAAAGGATTTGTTCCCAGTTCACATCTTGGCGCACCTTTATCTTTCCGCACATGAAGAATGAAACTGCTATCTGCATCCCACGTTAAGCTTCCCTAAAACCTAGGAACCAAATCATTAGTGCGAGCGCTCCTTCAAGAAGCGTGAGTTATCCTGCGTCCAAGCATGTAGTAGCTATTTAAGCTACTAGCTACGTGGCTACTAGCGGCCTCCCCCCCCCCCCCCCGCGCGCACGCCAAAAAAACCCTACTACTAGCTACCTACCTCTAGCTACCTCTTCTACTAGCTACCTCCTACTAGCTCGCGGCCTACCCCTCCTTAAAAATTCAGTTTGACAACAGTATCAGTATCAAACTGCACCCATGTCAACTGTCACGGCAGGATGGGCATTTGGGACCCAATCTTGAGGAGCGCGCAGTGCCAGTGGCGTCGAGGTCTATCCGAAAGTGGATGTCCGAATCAGAACTAGAACGAGCTCCCAGAGTCTGAAATAGCATGAAATATCAACTTAAGTGGCGAAGCTGATTCTGGTGACCTGTACCTTTCTATGTTTGGATGCTAGAAGATGCTACTGTAGAAGCTAAAAACGCTTCAACCAGCTGGAGGAGCGTGCTTGCACCCTTTGGGAACCTCAGGGTGCCACGAAGAAAATACTTGACCAACGAGCAAAGAAGCTGTAGAATCCAGAAGCTTGCTGTTGCAAGGTGGGATATTCTGGCCTGGAAGACTGACTAATTATACTGCAACTAAAGAGACCGCAAGATACAACGGAAAGGAGAGAGTCAATTTGAGAGTCTCTAGCCTGTCAACTCCTAGGCTGGATGAACACGTAGGTAGGATCAAGATGGAACCAGAGATCTCCTTGTTTTGCGAAGAGGATCCGATCCCTTTCCGTGAGATGACCAGAGAAGCTTTGAGCGGTTTTGGTCAATGCAGACACCCGAAAGGAATCCGGAAGGCCACGATGCGAGCTGAAGGCGAATTTCCACAGATTGCCGGGACTATTCACAGATGATAATTGCACCATGTTGATAGCATCATGACGGGGTGTCCAGGAATATATCCTTCAAAGCCATGTTCTCCCGAAGTCACTGAAACAAGGCCGCTCTCCAGGATCTCACCCGGCGATTGAAGACGGTGGAGTTGACCTCCGAAGCCTTCGAAAGCAAGGAGATCGGCTGGAAGAGCCCGTACTGGCGTCACTTGAGAACATGACTGTGTGTCAAATAGAGGCCATGACAGGTTGGATTTCTTCGAGATGGTTCTTTTTGTCACCTTGTTTCACGATTGATGCGTAGCGGACTGATCAAAACAAAATAATTCCCTGCCATGTGTGTGTGTGTGTGTCCACCCCTGGGCAAAGGGTTTCCTACCGCCAATCCTAAGTTCCACAGGCAGGGGGGCAGTGGACCGCTATCACTCACTGCCCAACGAAGACAGTGATAGTCCGGTCGTGAAATCCAGAAAGGACGCTTTCTGGACGTACCTGCCGAGTTTTCCACAAGCCGTTACACTACTCTTCCGCGCTTTGTTTCATGGTTCTTCATGGTTTTTCCCCCCCTAAACAGGCTTCTCTGCCGCGGTTTTTTGCAGCTTGTCGCGGTTTTTTTGCAGCTTGTCGCCACAGTCAAGGGAAACAACCTTTGTTCAAACACCTACAATTTTCTCGGACTTTTCGCCATGCTGTTCCACCGCCATCCTTCTCAACTTGGGAACTGAGTTAACTGAATACAATTGTCAGAGTGTGTTTCGCTCAGCCGTCCCACTCGGGTGCTGAGTGTGATCCCCGTCATTGGGGCGCTGTCTCATTGTGCAAGCACTAACTGAATCCACCTTTTTTCACTGGATTTCCACTGGAAGTCACCGACACAACCACTGAATTAACTGCCACAAAGGCTGCCGAGCCTCACCACGGGAACTGATTGTCCAACAGACTCCGTCGCGCTTCACAGTTTTTGCATTCTTGGCATGACTTTTCCGCATGAAGAACTCAAGATAGCAGACCTGAGCTTCCAGATTTAATTCGATATGCATGAACACACCAATACATCACATACTGCATTCCACATCAAGCCAATTTTCACAGCTACACAACAATCCACACTCATCCTCAACAAGCGCAGTACGATCTCCACCATGACAGACTACACCATCTACAGTCTCCGCTGCCGCGCCACGCTGTCGCTGCCGCCATTGAGACGACTCTGCTGCACAACTGTGACGACTTTGATTTGAATTTGACCCACTTTCATCGCCAACCTCATGCAGTACCCTTGGCCATACTCACATGCCACACCACCGCCACTACCCATTGCACCCACACAACCAACAGTACCGCTGCCACAGCCACACACTGCACCAGCCTTTCCTTACCCACAACCCTCGACATACCCTGTACCACAACATCAAGCATTTCCAGCTCCACCACCTATGACAATTCCAACTCCAACCACAATGCCCTATGGCAATCCCTCCGCTTGGACGCTTAGGCATCCTCCTCAACCTCAACTACAACCCACACAGCCACCACCCACCTTCCCATCACCGGCACCTCCCCCCTCCTACCTC